TATGGCTTTCATGATCACTGCGACTATTTTTGTAAATATAAGGAATTGATATACAAACTATATCATTAATAAACAATACAAAAATAGTCGCAGTGATCATGAAAACCACAATATGAAACATGCAAAGCCAAAAACAAAATATTTCCAATGCAAAGCGATGGCTGATATAGTAAAATAAAAGCTAAAGACATTAACAGGACAGTGTTTGTACTTTTCGAGGTTTAATTAGAACTCCAATGAATTTTCAGGGATTTTACATTGTTTTCAACGTCTAAAAAACTGAACGCGATGTTGTGACCATGTGATTGATAGGAGTTTGACATCGTATGTTCTTTTTAAAAATCAATTCGTAAAGTATGCAAGTCTTAATCGTAATCATAAGATGCATGTTTTCAAGGACTTTKCTCGTAACCGAAATTCAATGATTTTCCAGGCATGAATAACTCGATCGCTAACTTTCCAGGTTTTCCAGAACACAGTGCAGTTATACCAATGCGGCAAATATGATAGAGCAGCGTTTGCAACATATAGCTTGATTAAAACTGGCAAAGCCTGAAAATATAGGGCAGTGGAAATGACATCGAACGATGTGATATATGTATCTTGGATACGCCCATATGATGTTGACGACTTTATTTTACAACTGCTTAGGAATGTCTATGATATTATAAAAGGTGAAACGAAAAATAACACAGCAATGATCAGCCATAAATGGCATTGACAATGAGCACTTTATGTCAATAGTGACATCGACAGCTGGGAACTTGAAAAACAATAATCGAGCGATGGCCATGATGACGTTCAAAAAAAAATCCAAAGAGGTGTCAATGAACATCACAATAACTGATTATTTCCTCCAAAAGAGCAAACATCGACTACTTTTAAATTGAGTTCAACTAAACAGAATAAATCACATTAAAAAGTGAAGAGAAAAAAAAGATTTTAGGTTGTCCTCGCAGTGCTCTTAATAATATTGATATGACATGGTTTGTCAGTCTAGATAAGGAAAGAGTTTCAAAGTACTTTCTTGATTACTGAACTTACTTTGTTTGCCGGCACTATATGTCCTCTATTCATTGAAGATATATATTGGCATCAATATTCTACAAAAAGCATGAATGACATATATATCCGCGAGGTTTCCCGAGGGCAAATCTCTTACCCTGAGGGGTAATGTGAATTTTGATTTGAATATCCGTAAGTAAGTACTCCGTCGAACAAACATTGAAAAATAACGTATTTGTTTTCTGGTTTAAAAAGAACTTTATTTAGTCCGACGAAGCATATATTAAGCAAGCGAAAACATTGGGATCATTTTTTGAGCAAAATCCACAGAAAAGAGATGTTTAAACCCCGGGTTTAAACCAGAAACAAAAGGTTCATTTAATTGAGCGCTGTGACTGTCTCAAACCTGGAGCGCAGCAGCGAACTCAAAATCCTTTTTAGCAGACTTAAAACTCATTGCAAAGTGCAACCACTGTGATTAAGGCTTAATTATTGATATTTTGCTTTATTTTAAATTTAGTTATAAAGTTCGCCACATGATAAGGAAAGGACCCCCACRGATCAAACACAAAGCTACACTACAGAGAACCAGAATAAACCTCAAAGTGAATGCCAATTGTAGTCGACGATCGAAAAAACCTGGTTTAAAATTSAGAGCGTCTGATAACAGGTAAGCTAAAAATTCTAACTATCCTTATACTTCGGAAGAAATTGCTTGAATTTAGACTTTTATTTGTCCTTGTTATTTCTTKTATGCGTTTTTTTTGCACCACAATAACAACCCTCTTATCAATCTGATAAGTTTTATTTTCMCCATGCAGTGGAAATGGGGATAGCTCAATTGACTGATTTAKTTTTAACATGATTGAAATTTTCTTCATATACAGTTTGTGCATGTGAAGTTTTTGTCAATTAACAAGCGATTAAAGTTCTTTTTCCCATGGCTAAAAGTTTTTTTTTCTCAAGTGGGCTYGATAAGTTATATTTACATAGGTGAAAAAAATTGGATGTAAAGTTTAAAGCCATTGAAACTACTTGTTGAAGAAGAATGCGTTATACTGGAATTGTACTGAATGAAAAGAACATCTATCATTAAAGCGAAACACTGACAAAAAAAGTGAATATCAAATATGCATYGGATTCGGGTAGGAGGAAGAAAAAAAAACAATATGAATGTTTACCAATTTTGCCGTGATTACTGAAAGCAAAGCCTTAATTTCATTCCTATATACTGCATGTTTTGATGTCAAATCGTTGGCGCAGTTTACAAATGACCTTTTGTAATAAACTGTGTACTTTGTGTGTTTAGAATAACGRCAAGGRAAACAAGGGGGGTCTTGACTGGAGATGAATTCAACTAATGAGACTTTGGTTATATTAAATGGTAAGTTGGAATATTAAATAATTCATATACCACTTCGAAAAAAGGCTAATGTCATAGTATAGCTGAAATAAAAACCATTTTATTCTTAAAAAAAACTGTACAACTGTTTGTCAAAAATCAATAGACAATTCCTGGAAAAAATCAAATAAAATAAGTTAAAAAATAAGCAGAGTTTAAAAAGGGAATACATCGTGGAGGACTATATCCGGCATTTTGAATCTTGTGTAAATTAAAGGCAAAAACTAACRCGRACTACGGTACTTCTGTCAAATTCTATATCCGCCCTGTATTCTCTATTAGCCTTTTTCTAATGTATTGACAACGTTATAAAACACCCTTATGCAAATAAATACAATCATATCAAATGCAAAATCAAAAGAATTAGTTTCCGTTTGGCTTGCATCTTACAAACACTTTTCTTGAATATTTGATTCAAATTGATTTTCACCTTTAATTCATGAATGGTCTGTCATCAAAAAGTTTAGGAACTGACATTATGAAAATTCCAAGATCGAATGCAAAGACATTAATGACAATATAGTTGGTATTCATCTATCAAGGTCTGTCATGCAATATTCTTTCGCTTCGATTGAAAGGAAATCTTCAGTTATGGCTTGCTTAGATTGTGTCAGCTGAAATAATACAACAAATATTGAACTACCCACTTGAGCAATCTCTATTTTCGACCTGACAGTCTTCATCATGAAGTATCCATCTATCATTTACTCATGCCTGTCTCTTTAATATTCATTTGTGTTAGAATACCCAGCACTCGATTCTAGTGTCTTACAGACCGCTATTATTGAGTTCAACCAACCAAAGAAAAAAGAAAAAAGAAAATCTTTTTTTCCGTTTTTTTTTTTTAATTAAATGTCGAGTATTGTAAGCTATATTCATGATTAAACACCCATTTAGGTTCAAACGATGTCTCTAATTCGATAAACACTTTGATAAAATGTCCTTGTGATAATCCCATAATATCTTATGAACTAGAATTCAAGATGGCGGGCGTAACGAGGAAATAAAGATCGATCGGATCAAGAAATTATCAAAATATCTCAGGATTAGCCTCGAGTAAAAGCACCTTGAGTACAGCAGGAAAATATTGGAATTAGTTTTCTAAACAACCGTTTTATCTACCGTGATCGGAAAGAATTCAAATAATATTCCGATTATAATGGAGKCATAAAATGCAAAACCGTTCAACTTGACCTAAAGCTATCGCTGTATGTTTTACAGTCACTTCTTGCTTTTTAACGTGATAGCTAGCTTCCTTTTTTTATTTTAAAACGCTTTTTTTTKATCAAACGCGCGCGTCAACTTTATTATTGAACACTAAAACATATCTAATACATAAAAATTAAACATAATCACATGAGAAAGGAGMTATGTTATTAAATAGTGCTCTATACACACTGTAAAGTTAAGCAAATGAAGTGAAAAAACGGAGAGGCAAGATTTGCTATGACTCTGAGGACGAATCTCTGAGGTCGAAACTCTCTCGAGTCACAGTAAATCTTGCCTCTCCGTTTTATTACTTCATTTAAAAGATAAACATATATTTTATGTTTATACCGACTTCATAAAATAATGACACTCTTTTCATATATACTATAWATAGCTATTTCAAAAAAGATTGTCGAATAAAATGGCGAATATGGCAATGGTCGAACCGCGATTACACAACTGAAAGTAGCCATGGGCTGCTAGTTGAAAGGAAATAACAACTGATTTATAGTGTAAAAAAGCCTTTGGTGAACATTGGCTCCATTTAGTCTTCATTTCTAAGTAAGGTGAGTTCAATTAACAGTGTAACCATAGTCCCTTTCGGTCGTGCATTCTCCCTTCGACAATCGCCGGTCGCCGTTCTCCCCGACAATTGAAATAGCTGTATATATGTTGTGTTGATATTTTATCGTAAAATTGGGGCACAATTTGCTGAAATGATGTTTGTGCATATTTAATATTTCATGTGTTTACAAACATTACGCCCTTTAGAATGGTGATTTCCAAGGAAAAACAACTGCAACATATATCGTATATATATTTCAAGAGTGTCATATTTTTCTGAAATTTTCTKAAATTTACATATTTTTAAAGACCCAGTTTGCACCATTATGCTTTGCGCGCCTCTGTTATTGTTATATGATTTACACCAAAATACTTCTAGTATCCAAATATCACCATAAAACGAATTTCAGATGGTTGAAAACTCTAATATCTTAAAAAGTGCTTAGAAAATTGAGATGGTCAAAGATTCAAAACGCACAGTACAATTTATAGACTTTCGGTAAACTGAAAATGACCGCCTTCAGGTCCTCGCTGTATCACCCATAAATGTAATAATCGACCATAAATGTAATACCCACCATAAATGTAATAAAATCAACCATAAATGTAATACCCACCATAAATGTAATAACAGTCAACCATAAATGTAATAATCGACCCCACCATAAATGTAATAACTGTCAACCATAAATGTAATAATCGAGACCAACCATAAATGTAATAAMATTAACCATAAATGTAATAACTTTTATGTCAAATCTCTTTTAACGATTGTGCACCTGTAAATCAGGTGGTGACTAATATCTCGTTAGGCTACACAGATATCGTGACGTCATAATGTGAACAATGAGGCAATTGCATCTTACTGTCGATTCAAACTTAGTAAAGGGTACAAAATTTTAAAATACATAGACCGGTTGCAAACATTGTTTTATATTCCCAAATTTCTAGTACGTGCAGCCGTACTACTAGTTTGGGAACAATTAAATTGTTCTGGCCTTTTTAGATTAAGTCCATGACAATACAAAATGAGCATTCTTGACGTCATACCCCCTTGACCATAGATGCAGGTATATGTAACCAAGAGGGTTAATTACAAAAGAATTTTAGTCGGTGCCTTGTCAGGCCACCTTGGCCAGAGGTTKAGATATGTATCATTGCAAAGCGAATCTTTCCTTGCAAAGGTTAACTGGATTATGCTAGTATAGTATGCTATAATATCAGTATAGGAGTCTCAAACAGGCCTCGTATACGCTCATGCATGAGTGAGGTTTAAGATCCATGAATATCARGACGAATKTCTCATCAGAAGGGAATAGAAGGGAAAGGCTGATTCGCTCGACTGACTATACTTGGGTTTTTGGGGTCAAGTTGGCAGAATTTCGGCAGCCTAACACGATTATTACGTTCCTCTGCACACATTATCGAACCGATCTGGTATTGATGTACCCTCCAGACGTTAGGATTCAAGAAGACGCCTGACACATTCGACGCCTCCTGGTAACCAAGTACGGGGATGAGCGGGACATCACATGGGAGACTATTGTCCAAGTGAGACCAAGCTCCTCCAGAAGTACTTGAATTACCTACACTTCCAGCTGCACCTGCTGGTCCACTGTCGCAGTCAATTTTACACAATTTTTAGGGTTAAAAATACAGAAATATAAGAAGAAAAGATATGAATTGAAATCAATATGATTGCCTCTGTACGCCGACGGACTAATAATCAACAATTTGCTTACAGTCGGGAACCCTGTGTCCATGAATTCAAACATTTTCTAGCTCTTATCATACATTAATTTCCAATTAGTTTTTTTCCATGAATGAAGAGCTGCGTGTTTTTTTGCTGTTCGTCCTTCGATGGCAAAGATGAGCATGACTTCAGCTTCGGGATGAGCGGCGACGAAGTGGGGCCCGAAGGTGACAATAGGTCCAATCCGGGACCTGAAGACTCATTTACATGTAGAACACAAGTGGGTGGGTACTGTAGTTGAAGTGGAGGCAGCTCGGGCCTTGCATACGGCACGTTTTCGGGAATCTGTAGTGTGTCBAATGTCATGATCAGCTGCACGAGCTCCAGTGGTGAGCTTGGTACGTCATCTTGAGCGGTCCATAGCATGTGCCTCCCAGCTGCTGATRTCAATGCTCAGGCTCTTGATAGATGCTTTGAGGCGTCTTTAGATCGTTTCTTTTGCCCCAATTGTTTCCCCTGGCTAAGCTCATAGCACAAAAGTTGTTTGGTAGGCGACTGTCAGGCATTTTGACGATGTGCCGCGTTCGACGAAGAAGCCGCACTGGCTTTCTGGGAGGAGTCCTTTATCAAGGTGATGGAGGAGACGGTTTAGCAGTACATTAGCCGATAGCTTATCGGCTATGGACGGGGGAGATGACTCTTTGGTCATCGCAGGACTGCGGGTTGCACTTCCATTTGTACATGTGGACAATGCTGGCATCCTTGAACTGTTGTGGAACTTTTGCCATGAAACAGTCGAATAAGCTACTGCAGGCGCGGATCCAGGACTTTGAAGTGGGGGGTGAATTGCTAAAATAATGTAATAAAATGGAAGCCAAACGCCGAAGCCGGGAACCCCTAGGGGGTTGGATTTTGAAATCCAGACTCTCGGACATGCGATTTGCAGCGTTTTGTGGGCCTTTTTAGTAACTCTTTCTTGAACAAATTTAAGCGGAATTTAGTACGCAATGCTCACTTGAAGCAAAGAATCTCTCACGTTTAAAACTGAACAATGAGAGTTTACCGTGTACACACGAATATACATTACACCCACTAATGTCATCTACGCTATTTACTGCCCCAAATGTGATTGTTCCATCATCATCCTTCCATAAATGCTCGGCAAATAGTAGGTAGAATCAATCAGTCTTTGNTTGACGATGTGCCGCGTTCGACGAAGAAGCCGCACTGGCTTTCTGGGAGGAGTCCTTTATCAAGGTGATGGAGGAGACGGTTTAGCAGTACATTAGCCGATAGCTTATCGGCTATGGACGGGGGAGATGACTCTTTGGTCATCGCAGGACTGCGGGTTGCACTTCCATTTGTACATGTGGACAATGCTGGCATCCTTGAACTGTTGTGGAACTTTTGCCATGAAACAGTCGAATAAGCTACTGAATTATGCCGGGGGATCCTGTACACTTCTGTAGGGATAGCGTCTCATCATGGCGCTCTGCCACAGTTGCTTGACAGCCTTTCTAACTTCTTCTTCAGTGGGGAGACTGTCCAGTTATTGGATGGATTCCACTTTGACTACTTTGGGAAGTTAGGCTACATCATCGCCGTTGACTGTTGCCGGGGCGTGAGGACGCTGTTGAAGTGTTCCGCCCATCTCTCCGGTATCTCTTTCTTCTCTATCAGCCGCTGGATTCCACCTACATTGAGGAAGGGCAAGAATCAAGACGACTGAGTTCCGTACACAGTCTTCAATGCGTTTGGAGTCATGCGCTTGGAGTAATGGCTCCAGCGTAGACCTAATTTTTTCTTGTTGCTGAACCAGGAGTCCTGCATCTCACGAAATGTATCTTACTAGCTGCTTCTGAACTTTCAGTCTGGTATTTTTGCATTTTGGCAAAAGCATCCTTCTTTGTCTGCCGAGGTTGGTTTGTTCTGGTATGCCCGGAGGGGCTGGTGTTTTTCTGTAAGCAAAGCCTTTTTCTCGTTTTCGTCGAACCAGTCTTGGTTGCGGCGAGTAGCTGGTCCTAGGTGATCAGGGACGGTTGAACAGATGAAATAGGAGGAGCCAATGATTCCTTCCCAGGTTTTGTACTTGGTCCCTAATCTGGAATTAAAGTCTCAAAGAAGTATTAGTTTCTCTGACTGMGGGGCTGCTGAAATGAGGAATTCCATTTCTTCGTATGGAACATTTTCTTGATGTCATCTGGTCCGCTCTTGTAGGAGCGTGTAGGCACTTATAAATGTTACCCACCTCTTGTTTCAATCTGCAACTCACGCTCTAAGGGACGGAGCTTGGTGACAATCGTTAAAGAAGGTTTGACATAAAAGTTATTACATTTATGGTTAATGTTATTACATTTATGGTTGGTCTCGATAATTACATTTATGGTTGAAAGTTATTACATTTATGGTGGGGTCGATTATTACATTTATGGTTAACTGTTATTACATTTATGGTGGGTATTACATTTATGGTTGATTTTATTACATTTATGGTGGGTATTACATTTATGGTCGATTATTACATTTATGGGTGATACACTCGCGGCTCCCAAAGCATAATGGTGCACAATGGGCCTTTAAATAACATATATAAAAGATTCTTATGTATAGTCATTGTTACTTCAAGGTCTACCTAGGGACCCAAAATTGCGTAGAATCGCAAAAATACACTATAAGTTCACTATCACCAAAAGCTACAATAGATCAAAAGCTCTGAGAACACAAGTCTATCAATGTCGGTGGCTGCCTCGACGCTCTCTCTGATATCATGTGTTCAGCCAATGAGAGCGAACTTTATATGCCACACATTTAAGTCGTAATTTCTCAATAATTTTATCAAATGTTATATCTTCCAGGATCACACATCAATGGCCCAATAATGTATAGTTTAGGTGTTAAAGTCAGCCTAACTATGATCTACGTTATCACATTCTTTGTGGGTTTTATCGGGAATTCAATTGGTATGGCATAATATATGAAAAATTATATTAAAATACTTGTTCAAAGAAATCATCAAGTTCAGGGGCGGATCCAGAATTTTATAAGGGGGGGGGGGAGGTTTAGTCAGTAATATATAGCTAAAAACTAAGTATAGTAGATGGAGCTGATCGCATTTGTTAGCTGCGCATCGGTCTAGAGCAAGTAATTTTGCTGCACAATTTTTTTAAACTTATCTTTGACTACACTACTCAAATAGATTGTTAAGTAGCATAGTTGCAGACATATGTTGTATGTGCTACTCGTTTTCACAATAAAAGTACAACAGGAGTATAAACAGCAAAAAAATATGATATATAAAAAAATTACGTCGTCCAAAAAAGGGGGTGCGGTGCGAAACAAAAGCACCCCCTGGATCCGCCCCTGATTTTCATTAAATCTACTATTATCACGATCATTGTTATCATCTCATCATGCATCAGGAGGTGGTTAGTGTACGAATACTGGATATAATTATCCGCCGGTCAAAGACATCCGCTCCTTATATTTCACCTGCTCGGGATAAGTATTTATCCGGTGGGTAGAGCGCTTTAACTCTTCGTACGACCGCCCCCAGGTGTATTAATGGAAATTATTGATGTCAATCTATGTGCATAACTACGTGTAATGGCGGGAATTTMATGCCGTGACTGCAGTGTTGTTTTGCAGTTATATCTCAGTAATCTGCCTTATTTCCTCCGCGCTATCGTTGTACTTATCATCTTCCTCAACAAAGATAGATTACGAGAAGCAAATATATATGTAGTGTTTTAGCTTTTGAGTAGAATCTGCAAAAAATACAGGACAGGAGCTTTATCTTACATAGCTGTTTTACACCAAATTGAAGAAAAGAATGGAATTCTAGATACTCAAAAATTTGAATTAAGTTTGCCTAAACAAGTAACATCATAGCATTTTACTCGTAGAGACTATTATACTCATGATATTTGTTTTCTTATGCTCCATTTCGGTCTTAGCTAGCTTTCATCATGATGTTTTAAACCCGACTACTTTTTTCAACAGGTGCATCAAACCTATATTCGTACCACGTGTGATCGTTATAATAAAACCTATTATTAATATTTATTATTATATTATCATCATTATTGATAGATATCTATCGTCATAGGTATGTATGTCGTATGTCGACGTACCTGTATTACMAACGTTACAAACATCTTCATCGCTAATATGTCGCTAGCAGATCTTATCATCACCATCCTAGCCGTCCCTACTAGTGTTGTACAGCTATACGTCCAGCATCAATGGATTGGTGGCTTTTTTGGCACCTTCACCTGTAAAGTCACATTCTTCTCTCTCTACATGTCTTTAGCTGCGTCAGTCTTCACYATTGTGTTAATCTCAGTAGAGAGATATGCAGCCATTTTCTACCCTCTTCGAGGTGACGATGTCAAGAAACCTAAAATCATAACGGGTATGATATGGTTGTTGTCCTTCGCCTTCGCCTCACCAATGCTTATCGTGCCCAATGTGAACCAAAACCCGACCACAGGAGACTACAATTGCATCATGCTGTTGCCTGGCGACCCGACTAAAACATTCCATGTGCTTAAGATTTACTTCACTCTCTGTTTTGTCGTGATGTACATTGCGCCTCTTCTGTTCCTTGGAGTTGTTTACTCGAGAGTTTCGTACAAACTTTGCATGCGGGCATCACCTAACAGCACACCTGACAACCACAGCAAACGGGTTCGTAGCTCAAGACGCAAAGTTGTTAAGATGTTGGTTGGAATTGTCGTGGTTTTCAGCTTCTGTTGGTTACCTGCACATATTATGCACTATCTAATCATTTACCAAAGTAACGTTCTTGTTAAAGTACCTCCTATCATTATATTATTGTCGTTTTGGTTGTGTCAAGCCAACAGCAGCATTAATCCTTGTTTATATATTATGCTGAACGATAGATTTCGACATGACTTCGGTAGAGCCATTTCCCACATTATTCGAAAAGTCAAAAGCGGTTTCTCTTTCTCTTTTGAATCATCGCCTTCATGTTTCCGTCGACGAAATTACAGGTCGAATTCTTCGTCGAGTAATTCATATCAGCGAAGGTTGTCGTTGATGCTTCTTCTTCAAGCAGTTCGAGGAACGTTTAATTCGCCGTCAGGGCGACCAACAGGAGATACAAAGGTAACAAGAAATAGCCTTTCTGCTCTCAATCATGGACGACCTTTTGCCGAGACAAGGTTTTAGCCTGTAAGTGAATTATGTCGGTGGCTTTAGGACGACTGCTGGCCGGAGCGTCGCTATTAGCCTGAACATTATCACCTAAGTCATCAGCATCATCATGTCAAAGATGACAGAAACTGTGATAAAAAATCATGATAAGTTAGTCTTACAAATTAACTCTAAGTTTGTTAGGTGAGCATGTCTCTAGGAAATAATCTTGGTTTAATWTGGACTAACTTCGCACTTATGACGTGTATAAAGAGGTCACGTGAGCTCACCTTCATAAAACGAAAAATGAGTAGTTTCATGAGTGACAAGTCTCACTCTTACACGACCCATTTAGATCAACTGAATAATACGTAGCTGTAGTGGATTCAAATGTCAGCTGTTATTGAAAAGGTATCTCAACATGTCCAAAATAAAATTAATGAAAATCCGAAGTCAATTTATGAGTTAGAAACAAACTAGAACTCCAGAATGACTTCCAGTGCAAGATAGATTGAGCATCAATGATCGTTACTATCAGTGGAAACCGTATGCATTCAATACCTATGCACACGAAGCCAGTGTTTTTCATAAGTTTTCSCTGCGAGTCAGAGATCGATTCCAMTGATTCAAACGTGATGCTTTGCATTGGCAGGAAACATTAAAGGATTGTTCCCTTTCCTCAGACCTTAATGCTATCAAAACATTCTCCATAAAACGTCAAATCACTCCAAATGTTCATCATGATACGTTTCTTAGTTTAGCCATTAAAGTGGAGAAGACAGTTATGCATCCTTTCTCAGCCGATCTCAGCCRTGAACAGGAAGAGAGTTATTGAGAATTTTTAACATTGCTCTTCGCACATTCACTTGTACAGCGTTTCCAAAATTGCAAAAATCTATACATAAATTTCCGGTGCATTGTATGTAATTTTCGCYGAAAAAGTAGACTAAAACCMTATTTGAAGTAGAAGTCGTATTGTCTCCTCTCGCAGCCGTTGTGAGGCTCGTTCATAATTATAGGTATTCATGAGAAGAATAACGAAAAGGCATCGGAGAAAAATCGGTCATCCCGAATTATACCAACGGATACATACTTGTAAGACATTAATATAGTGAATTGAGACTTAGTGTTCCGATCCATCAGTCACAATGCAGGTGTTTACATGTAATTTYATTCACGATCAATTRAAAGYGGACGGGATTGAAACTGCGGTTTTCCTTCAAAAGTTGTGAAAATCCAATGGTAAATTGAGAACTGCATTTCCCGTCAAATGCTAACGGTCACTCCATAATAGTAGCATTTCGAGAAATCACACGTTAATTTTAATACTTTAAAAAGAATATTCATCTGAGTTTCATGTCTATTAAAGGATCATGGAGTCATGAAAACATTCTAGCTCAAAAATACTGGTGGTTGATTGTTTATGCTTGACTCCCGTGTGCTTTCTTATTGTATGTGTGTGTTTTTGAGTGTCCTTACACTACGTATGCTTTCTTGGTGCATGACTGTATGTCAATCATTGGTCAATATCAACCAATAACCATGCGGCTACGCTTTTTGTGACGAAGGCCTTCTGGGAAGGCTTCGTCACTATGTCATCGGGTCTGAGTGAAAGAAAGAGTTGTAACCATTCCAATTGAAGCAGGCGTTCCTAGCGGTTATTTAAACACGTGAWCGTTGTMCTGACCATGTGCGTTCTCTAGCGACGTGTTCGTGCTTTCGAAGGTGATTTGTTGTTCTTTTATCACAACTAGACACAAATTTCTATCCATTTGCAGTCAAATTTGTATTTCTAAAAACATATTTCAGATTTTGGGGCGCTTTATGTGATTTGTTTGCTAACAAAAGTCCGATTGCTTCGCTTGGCTTTAATATTACACAAGACCTCAGTGCAGGCGGCGTTCTTCAATTCCATTAGGGGAACAAATAAATCCAGAAATGGCGCTCAAAATCTCCTTCGGCAGACTCAAACTTCCCTTCAAGGAACAAGTAGTCACAGCAAGTTATAGTCTAGCTCGCTTAGTCGTTTATTAATATTTAACTGAGCTTTTGTATTATTCAATGCTAGAGTACAAACTCTAAAAGAGTCAAAAGAACTTAGCATATTTTAGCATTATTTAGTGGTATTTATGTTGCACAGTTCCCTTCCTTCCTTGTGTCATCCATCTGTTGACGGTGAAACATTAGTAAACATTTATCTACATAATTGACATTGTTCATTATATATTGTTTTACAGCCTTTTGCAAAAATTATGAGAATTGCTGAAATATCTAAATATCATAATATCAAGTGCATGATCCCGCGCGATGCCCTTAGTCCCTTGTCTTTGTTGTTTAGTTTTTTTTTGGCGACAGACTTATCCGTAGTTCTGAACATTTTCTCGATGTCAACAATGAATTATTCTAGCAAACCCGCGTGTTCCGGACAATAT